GCCCACGGGCCTATCGGAGAGCGGGGAGGGCGGGGCATTGCACAGAGTCTGCTGCTATTGGGCGGCGGGGCTGGACGTCGGAGCCAATCAGAAGTGGGAGCGGCTGAAGCGGGCGGGAGGCGGTGCGCCGGTCGCCATAGCGACGGGGACGCCGCTGGGTCGGGCCGGGCTCTGTGGTGGCCGGGAGGGACTCGAGGGGACCGGGACCGGAGCTGGGGCTGAGCCTAGAGCCGGGTCCAAGAGGGCCAAAGCCGTGGTTGCGACGTCGAGGCGGGAAGTAAGTCAAGCAGCGCTGCCACAGCCCTGTCTGAGGAGTCGCTGAGGGCCGGGAGTGAGACCTCCGCGCGGGGCCCCGGGCGGTGCCGTGCCGCGTGTGAGGAGACGGGGCAGCCTTCCCTTCGCTGCACTAAACCTCCAGCGAGCCCGCTGAAATGCCCTCGGTCAGCCGGTGTAGCAGTTTGGCAGATGTGTTGGAAAACCAGTTATTTGTTGTTTTTTTTTTAAAGTGATATCACAAAGCACCAGAATTGCTCTTTGTCAGTAAGTTTTGGTCAATATGTTATGTGCTGTACTGCTTTTTAGCAGTTCTGAAGCCAAGCAAATAAATATTTTCCTGAGCTCTTGTCCTTACAGGGTTTACAAACAAGCAGGGAACCACTTAATTCGGTTTAAAAGACTCTTCTGGACTTCATAACCCACATTATCATCGTATAACAATTTTTAAAAATGAGGTGGGGCATGTGGGCAATAGATGATGTACAGTCAGGGGCTGAGTTCTTGTGATAGTTGTCTTCTACTGCCAATAATGAGAGAGAAAAATACACAGAAAGCTGCGTTGTCTTAGTAAGATTGCAACACATGAAATAATGGAATATGGGCCTGTTACTTAATTACTGTATCCCTTTTTCACTCCATGTGTTTCTTTTTCATAAATAACCATGCAAGCATGATATTTAGTCATCAAATACTTTTCATCTCATTAGCCCTATTTCCATTTCTGTCACTGTCTGTCTTTGATTATTTATGAATCTGAAATGACCTCAGTGGCCAAGAGGAAAGAAGATGGCTCTATTTTTTTGGTCCATCGGTAATTTTCACCCTGGAAAGTTTAATGAAGATTCATATTCATCAAAAATGTCCTTCAAATTAAATTATTTCATTGGTTTGCATTACTTAGTCACAAAAAATCATTAGGTTAAACACAAAAAAGGCTAGCCTGCTTTATGATAGTCTAGAATACAAAAATTGAAACCTAGAAAGTCAAAAAAGTATCAAGAAATACCTAGGGACATGATGGAGGCTGGAAGGGATTTTTTTGCAAGTCTTCAGAAATAGTTGATTTTGGGGAAAAAAATCTTCAAAATTCTCACCTTTGAGATCAATACCAAATTTAAATGTCTGATTTTTTTATTTTTTTTTTGTTTGGGGGAAAGTTACAGATGTGTAAGAGGTGTGTTGCAATGTGCTATGACTCCACTAGATGACAGCCAGTTCAGCGAATAACTGATCCCACTTTTCCGAGGGAATCCGGTCCCTGGTGAGGTGGGGCTCACTGCTTCCCTCCTTTCTCCCTGGGTCAGTGCTGCTGTTCCGGATCCTTGACTCCCACCAACTCTAAAACGACACTGCTGCTTTCCCACAGCCCCCTTTTCCTCCAGGAGCTTGGTATTCGATGTTCCTCATGTAGGCAGAGGTTTATCAGTACCCACAACCCACAGCAAACTGTGCTCTGCATCACCTTTAGTATTGTCAGGCTTTGCATAGTTGAGAACTTAGTTCAAGAAACCATTCCTGGATGCTTAAGCTGCAGTTTTGTTTATATTTCATTGTTGCTGTTGGGTTTTTTTTTTCACTAGATACAGTATAAGCATACTCACATGGTTAAAAATACTGAACAAAACAGATAAAAAGTAATTGCTAGGAAGAAGTTCTTTCTTTTTGCATACTTACAAAACCTCATGTGTTTAATGTTTTACTTGTCATCTGTATTTTTGCTATATTGATTCTGTTTAACTTTCATGCTTTTGCTTGGATCAGCTGGTATAGCATGTAGCAGACTCCAACAATAAAAGAATAGTTATTTATTTACTTGTTTTTCATTTTCTGGTTTGTCTTTTGCAGGATAAGAAAGCTATATCAAATTTAAAAGTGAAGGTTTAATTAGAACTCCACTTTTGATAGCTGCATGATTTCTTAGTGAATTACAATCCATGTTTTCCATTATACCAGATATTGGTATTGTATGCAAAGGATATTCAGTATTTCATGCAAAAGATAAAAAAAGCCCTAGAACTCATAGAAGTTCTATAAAGTGATATAAAATACATTTTAAGCCAAAGTATTATCAGATGCACTTTTAGGCTAAGGTGAGAGAGAGATTTCAAAGAAGGAGGAATTAAATCAGAAGTATTTACAGGAGAAGCTGTAGAAGAAATGCATTTTTCTAACTTTTGTATTTGGAATTTATCACAGAAAAAATCACAAATTGCTGCAGGTACCTACAGGGTATAAACTTAGTCTGCCTGGCCAGGATTAATTTTACCCATTTGCTATAATTGTAAGGAAGAAATAATGTGACTTCACTTCTTAGGAAAATAGGGCCATCTTTATTAGTAATTTGTTTGTTTTTCTTTTAGAGGTGCATTTCTGAACTGCTTCCTTGAACCTTCTTTGTTCTCAAGGTGTGTCTAGGGTTCAGCAGGGAGGCAAATTATGTTTTGTTTGTTTCCTCCTCTGTACTTTAGCACTGCAAATCACACAATGGTTTGGATTTCAGGGATTTTTTTGTTTGTCACGCCACTAGAAATTTTCTGAGGAAATTAAGTTCCTCATGGAAACCATTTGAAATGGGAAGTGGCAAATCTTACCATTCAAATTCTTCTTATCTTAGCCATATCTAATTAGAATTCCAGCAGATAAAGTCTGTGTGTGGCTCAGGGTGGTTCTATCCCAAATAGCAGAGTTGAAAACAAGGGAAAACAGCAGAATTTGTGACAGAAAATGTTGAGTTGTTTAGTTATATGGTGTGCACTCTCATTTCTCAAAGAGGTGAGGTTGTACTGTCTAATCAAACAATCCATTCTGATTCACATGTGCATGATAATGTCCTATTGTGCATGATGTAGTTTTAAATTCAATTAGCAATTAATGTTGACGTGGTTTTGTTGTTTAAAGACACATCCATTCATGCTGAAGCACAGGCTCTGCCCAGTTAAAGCAGGAGGTCTACTTTACCATTAGGGAAAAAGCATAAAAATATAAAATTCTAGGGGATGGAAAGAGAATCACTGTGTGATCAAATAAATCTATGGTGCTCCTCATATTAATATTATCTGTAGGTCTTGTCCCTTCTCTCTGAAGACAATATGATAGAACTGAAAAAGTTTTGGAGAAGGGTGATAATGACATTGGAAGGCAGAGAAGAGCTTTCATGCCAGTGACAGGAAGTGGATTGTCTGCTTCAGCCTAGAAAAAGGATTGTCAGATGATGATTCAACATTAGGAAGAAACCCAGTGGCATAGAAAAGTTGTGATTATTCAGTGACTCATGCAGTAAAAGAACTAGGTGAGATCAAGAAGCCAGATTCAAAAGCAACAAGAAGCACTGGTTACTCATGTCATGTCAAGTGACATAAATGATAAATTGAAAAGCTCCATTTCCCTGTATTTTACCAATACTGAACGTTTTGTATGAGTTCAAGGAGAAAGTGGATGGATTCAGAGAAGCATCACCACACTATAGCTGGTGGGTACTTCTGTCCCTCTCCAGGCATTCAGTTGTAGGCTGGAGGTGTGCAGAGATAGTTGATTCATCTTCACACATGGACCTGCATCTCTTTATGGTCAGAATAAAATTTTACTTCTTTTTGCATCTGTCACTCTGAAAAGAATCAATTCAACTAAGTGTCACCTGCCTGGATTCTGCACAGATTTGTATGTGAACATTGCTGTTTGCTAGAGAGAGACAGAAGTAAAGATACTGAAATTAGTTTGGGGAATATGAGTTCAGGCTTTTATTATTGTTGCTGTCCTGAAGCTGTTCCACAAGACAATTCTCAGCCTGATTTGACCCAGGTTCCAAAACAGCCTTGTAATTCCCATTCTCTGTAATTCTGTGTCTTGGATCAAGGCTGTGATATTATTTGTAGTTCTACAGTTTGAAAACATCCACACTTGTTGGGTTATTCTGTGAAGTTGGGAAAAAAGTCAGCTTTCATTCCTAATTCAATTAGACAGTTTAGTTACCAGATACTACAAAGACACAAATTTTCCACATTGCTTTTTGAAGTTTATAGATCAAATTTTATATTAGCTGAATAATATATTTAGTAATGTAGTAGGTAATGAAAGTATGCTAAACTTATTTTAATGTCTCATAAACCTACATATATTTTATTTATGTCTGCCCCCTCTTAAAACCACGTGGAGACAAGGGCTTGTCACACTAGCTGAGGCTGTCTAACCATTTTTCTCTGTCTCAGATTTCTATAGTTGTGTCTTAACATAAAACTGTAAACTTTTCAGATTCAAAAGAATTTTTTTGTTCTCACCCTCCCAAGCAAACTGGATTCTTGGTGAGGACTTTTTTGTACTACTGTACTGGGATGAGGTATATTTTTGACGGATGTCAACTGTATGTTTCAGATACAAATATTGACAAATATGCCCACACCCATGAAACTCTAACATTTTGGCATTGTTGTACGTAGAGTTTCTGCCACAGTGCTTTTCCGTCTGTCTAAACTCTAAGTTGAGAGGAACAAATAATGCAACAGTAGCCATAAACACAAAATGCATATGCTAAAATATTCAGCAGTTCTTTACAGATGAAAAATCACTCACTATTTATAAATGTGTATACATGTTTATGTACAGTAACTCAGAGTTTATTTCTTGGCCTCTATGATGTTTACAGTTATTTCACAATGTTTTGACTCCTCCAAGAGGGATCATGAAATTGCTTTTTTTTCCATAAGCAAATACAGACACTGAAATCTCTCTAAAAGACAAAATGTGCCTGAAGGAATTCCAAACAGTACTGAAGAAAGTAATAAACTTTCCAGTTTAACTTTCATTACCGTTATAGACAACTGTCTTTCGAAAGGTGAATACAAACAACACAACATTTTTGTATCCATTTTCCCAATACAATTTAAAAAATAAATTATATTTTTCTTAACTGTCAGCTTTCTGGCTGTGGAATGCTAAATTGCACTGTCTGTTTAATCGGAAAGATCTGGTACATATTATTGAAATAGTCTCAAAATTTCTTCTTAATTTTATTACAGTTTTAATTTTGGTTGTCCTTGATTAGTCCTTGATAGTAAGATGCACTCTTTTGAAAAAGAGAAAGGTCTCCCCTATGTTATGTGAAAGGCTGAATGATGTCAAGACTGCCTAATTTGAAGAGGATTCTGCATCTTTGGCAGCTGATATGGGTTTCATAATGGTGTGGTTCCATAGCAGAATACAATGTCCTCTGCATAATAGCTAATGTATAAAGACCTTCTGGTGTTAGGTGAACATTTGCATGCAAGAGTTGACAGTCTTTCTCCCAAAATTTTGCACTAAAATCCTGTGATACTGATCTGTCCATTCCTGTCATCTACTAACAACTTCAGTGAACTTGTGAAGGATTTCTTGAATTCCTCCCTCTCCACTCCATCTCACTTTGAGCTGTGCTTTGTGCTACAAATGCTCAATGCCTCCCATATCTCACTGTGATGACAAGATTTCTGTGTGCCTCACAAGTCCTTCTTCCCCTCTCTTCCCTCTATAAGATGTTTATTGCCTCTGTTTGATCATCCCATGTCCCTTATATCTTTCTCCTGAAGTGTTTTGTCACCTTTCTTGCTTCTTCATGCAAAAGGTTGGTATTTTAAAACTCTTTGGATATACAAAACTCTTAAGATGCTGTTATGCCAGAAGATGGGTTTTTCAGATATTAAGTCATGTTTGATGTGATGATGAGGACCAACTTGATGGACACTGCTGGAGCACCTCACCCACCTTGGCATTTTCACACACCTCAGAGAATTCTGATGACTGAAGCTTGGGAACATAATTCTCAAGTGCTGGACCAATATCGTAAACACAAGTGAAATTATATAAACTTTATGGCATTAAGTTTCATCTTGCTGAGAAGTACTGAATGCCCTTGATCTATTTCTAATGCAAGTATCTTAGAGATTTCTATTCCTAAATGACAGATATGAATATGGGATTTTCTATAATATAAATATAGCAAAATTATGTTTTCCAACAGCTCTGCTTGTTCCAAACTTTTTTAATTTCTCTCTCTGCTCATTTGTTAAAAGACTGTGTTACCTAACTGGAATTAGAGATTTCTTCAGGATATTTTAAAAGTACTCCAGAGGATGATAGAGTGATAGTGCAGCCGCTTGCATGAAGTCTTTAATGAAGTTGTAACTGCAGACTTACCTAATTTACTCACATTATGACTTCTGTGGTTTGAATGTGGGTCTGACAAGTTCACGTAGTGGTTTTTACACCACATATTTATCTTTCACAATCATATATATCCCTGGATCTAATGAACTCTATTGGTATTTTTGTTACTTTCTAGGGCTCTAAACAATGAGTCAGGCTGATGAAGGAAATCCCACTGACACAGAACTGGCAGCTGAGAATGAGTCGCCTACCTGTGTGCTGCCTCCAGCAGCTCCTAGCCAGGAAGAGGGATCCACTGACATAACAGCAAGTCCTGCATTTCAGTGTTTAGATGAGGTACCATGTGCCCCAGCTTTCTCTGACTGTAACAGTGCAAAGTAATTATTCTGGGGTGTATGTTTTGGTGTTAATAATTGAAGGTTGTTACCACAATCTGTATCTTCCCAATTTCTTTGATTTTTCTAAGTGGTAAGAAAATTTTGTGAAGCAGTGTCATATTTTTGCTGGGGATGCTGTGCTTGATAGATAATCATGTTCTTTTTTTCAGTGATCATGGCCTTAAGGGGAATGAGAATATAGAGGTCTTGGTTTTGGTCTTGTAGTATTCTATCTGTAGAGATAATTGCATTATGATTTTTTAAAAGGCTTAATAGCTGCAGGTAAGTGGTTCCTGAGGCACTATTAATTGATGATGGTGATTGAAGAAACCTTTCAGAGTTCAGTTTTTTTGTGATTTTTTTTTGGTGTTAAGGAGTCTTTCGGAATGCTAGAAGTATTTCAAAATTTTAAATATCAAATATATATCAAATGGAATCCTTAAAAATGTAAGGCCAAAAGAGTCATTAAGAGATATTTAATCCAAAATTGGCACTGAAGTAGATTCTCTGCAGGTCTAATTTGTCTAATTTGTTCTTAAATCTTTAATTGGTGGAGATAGCTCTTTGGATATCCTTTTCCAGCAGCTCATCATTGCCAGGATTTTATAAAAAGTTTGCCCTATATCCCAGTTTGTTTACTTTGTAGTGAATAATGCAGCTTTCTTCTTGCCTTTCCCACATTAAAAAGAGAGACCAGCCAATTTCTGCCTTTTTTATAATAAAAATGTACATCTCTCTCTTGTATCCTTATGAGGCTTTGTTCATACTTAATGTTTTTCTTGAAGTTCTTACCTAAAGTTGCTTTACCTTGGACTCTTTCCATCTTGGTTCTGTCAGATCAGTTTGCTATCCTGGCTCTCACTCTCTGCCTACAATCTAAGGTCAGGAAAGAGGACAGGACAAGAATTTGTAGTGAAGGGGAAAATAGGACTAGCCCTTTCCTATCCTGCTATTAGATCATACTGAACGTAGCTTGAAACTGCTGCTTTCAGTCCAGTGCCAGTGTATGGAGAGCCCACAACTTCCAGTACTGTTGCAGCACAAACCCCCTTTGTTCTCAGTCCAAGGCAGCAGCTAAAGTGCCCCCATGCCCCTTCTAAACTGTATTCTGCATTTCTGCTTTGTTTTCCTTATTTTTAATCATAGTGAAAACTAATTTTTCTAGACTTATTCTATAAAATTATTAGATTATTTGCCTGATTTTTTTTCTCAAAAAACAAATCTTTCCAGAAAGGTTATTCTGCATATCAAATTTAAAGTTAACTTGTTTAACACTGATAACACTGTAAAATATTAATGGCAAATTCAGGATAAACTTAGTATTTGGAGTTGTTCCCAGCTCATGAAAAAACATGCTGTGAAAAAACAAAGTAAGCAATTTGCATAGTATTTCATAAATTAGGTCTTCTGGTCATTTTGTCAGTTTCTAGAAGAGAACTATGACTCATTTATTTTACCATCGTTTTTAGCAGTTTGCACTTGTACTTTACTGGTGAGTTTGGCTTTTCATCACTTATTCACATTTCTTCTCTTCCACTGACGTATTTGTTTTCTTTTGTTGAACTTTGTACATAATTCAGGGACAAGTATATGACTTCAGTCACCATAGAGGTTCTTGCATTGATGCTGGCTTCAACTACTTGGAATAGCTGTTGGGATTTTTCCACAGAAGCAGAATTGTGTCATATTTTCTCAGTTTCACTGACTAGTCATTTATGCCTGTGCAGCATGTAATTATCGCAAGGGCCACCTTTTGTTATAAAATTTCTTTAAAAACAGGTATGTGCCTCTTTCCAGTCAAGCCAGTCTTGTTTTTCTCATGTAAGCAGCAAAAACTCAAACATACAAAGAGCAAGAAGTCAAACATGCACACTCTCTCTCCTTTGTTTTTAATAAAACATAGTAACATTGCTTAGCTTTGTGGGTTAGGTAGAAATATTAAAAACCAGACAGAGTTCAAACAAAAGCCACCCAATTCACCATGACTTCTTTTCACCAAGTTGACATCTCCGTTCTGTTGGTTAGGGTAGAGCCATGCATTCACAAAATGAACTTTCCACTTCTTTTTGCCTTTGTTGTTATGTCCTTGAAATAAAGATCTTTGCTCTAACACTTCTAATTGACTTCCTTGAATTGTGAATCTTTCCTCATATCTCGTGTTCTTCTAGTGTTAGAAATAAATCAATCTGCATCTGTTAATAATTTTCATGGAAAACTACATAGTCTAGTACCTGTGTGACGAAAGAAATATATTACTTGAATAAATGCTACATTAAGATGCAATAAATTATGCTGGCTTTATTTTGATTTTAGTGCAGTATAGGCCATGTATATGTAATCTGATTCTTAAATGGCAGCAATTTTTTTCATATATGTACATTGTATAAGTTTAAAGACACATTAATTTTATTAAATGGATATTTAGTAGTAATTAGCTTCAACAAAATGATCTAAAATTGTATTCACCCTTTGCCTGAAAATTTATAATTCTTTTGGAACAGATGATAATATAATATATTTCTCCTCTCCCTTTATTCTTTTATCATCCTTACTACAACAATGCTGTTACTGGTAAAGCACCAGAGGGCAAACGGAAACTGTCACTTGAATAGAAAAAGCAATCAAATATGACATGAAACTAGATTAAATGCTCAAAAAGACAAGATTATGCAGAATGAAAATAAAAAAGAAATCAGTTTAAAAATTGTCTCCTGCCCCTTCTATTAATTTTTGTCTGCATAATTTTTGTGCTTCACCATATTGCACAGTAAAATTTTTTCCCCTCTGGCCACTCAAGTTGTATTTTACTTTCCTCTACCTGGTCCAGTTTTAATGGGAACATAAATAAATAAAACATCATTTGTCATAATGATGTTTTTGATGTTTAGTTTTGTAACCTATTACCATTTTCAAATAATTTTCTGTTGCTTAAGTTTTGTTTTGTAGCCCAAATCACAATCCCAGACACAAAAAAAGACACCTACTCTGTTTATCTTCCCAATCTGATAGTGAATCAAATGAAAAAACTCCAAAGAGAAATCAATCAGTGGGTATCTTCTCCCAGTCTGAGGTGGTTTTACTCAAGGCAGTGTCTTGTGCTTTTTTGTTTCTCTTCCTTTTTTTGGTATGTTCTTAGTCTAGAAAGGCAGTTCAGTCAAATGTATACATTTGGTATGAAGAATTTTGCAGAAAAATGATTCTGCAACGTTTATCTTGCGCATATTTGCAGTGGACACTCTGAGGCAGCTATTAGTTCTGCAGTATAGTTCACTTGTGAGTGAGAAGGGGTTTGCTGTTTTACAGATCCAGTGAGCAGATACCTTGTTTGGAATATACCACAATAGTCCCTTCCTGCTAACAAACATAATCCATTTTCTTGCTAAATCTAAACATGCAGAAGAATACGCTCCTTTGGGAGATTTGTCTGACTGGTCTACTGCAAACTGTTGCACTCTATATCCTGTAAAATGGTTGATGCTCCCTATCTGATACCAGCACCAAATCTTTCATTTGTTCTGCTTTTTTTTTGATGGAAATTGTCACTGTCATGCTACATTTCTTCCTCTCTGATGTCCAAGTGTCCTATTACCATCAAGAAGCAGAAAGAACCTTTCATGGATGTTTTTCATTACTAGTTTGAAACTCAGTCTTTCTGAGATTAGTGAATTTGTACTCCTAACTGCCAAAAGCAGTTGAACTGCTAATAAAGATGCTAACCAAAATCTCAATTCTAGTGGAAACACAGAGCAAAATCTCAATATTTACCAAAGAATCAACAGTATCACAAAGAATCCCCAAGCTAATTTTGCTTCTGATTATCTGATGCTGATTCATGCATATCTGCTATCTGTAAGAACTTTAATGTCAAAGAATGATGCATATGTTCAGTGTTTGAATGTTTGAGGGAAGAAAGGTACTTCTCATTTTTCTCCTTTTTCTTATCTGTGCTGCAGGAAAGAAGAGGAAGTAACATAAAGGTTGGCTACAACTTTCAAATATAAACACTAAGAATCAATATTTCATATAATTCTTCAGTGGCATGATGTCATCTAACAACACAATTCTACAAATTACAGTTGTTTGCAATTTCTTTTGGTAACAAGCTGGTCTTTAATTCTCTCCTAACCTAGGTTAAATAGTGGGTGTAAATAGCTTTCCTTTTAAAAAAATAAAGAGTTTAAATGAAAAGTTTCTTAGAAAAGCTACCTTGGTAGATTAGGATATAATTTTGGTTTTTTTTTTACATAAGAACCAATTTAATTTCTGTCCCTGTACACATTCTGTAGTGTGCTTTCCTTTATTATAAAGTATGATCATCACAATATTTTTGCATGATAACTATAGCAGTGAATATTTTTTTAAGTGTTTTAGTATGTGCTCTATTGAAGATATAAAAGTCTTGAGACAGCTTAGTATGTTGAAGACAAACAACATTTTTAAACTTAAGCTGATCCTGGCATGCTCCACACTACGCTCTTCAAAGGCCCCTGGCCCAACAAAAAAAGCGTATAAATATGTTGGCACAGGCAGCTAAGACAGATGTTGTCTCCACCTCCATGCACAGGAATCTGACTGCTAATTAGAAAAACCTTTTTTGACTTTGTGGAATGGTCACATGGGAAGTCAGCTGGGGCTGATAATGTGTCTGTAAGCTGGAGTATGGTTTTTTGCAACAGCTTCCAGCAAGTAGGAAATAGTTTGTATTGTGAATGTTAAAACAAATTGTTGTTGCAATAGGAAAGTTGATAAAAAAGCTGTAGAGGAATTGGGTGAATTTACAGGTGCCTTCAATCAGCAGGATTGGGAACAGAGCTGGTGTAACATGCTCATTCTATGGAGAAGTTCTTTTTACCACTAGCAGGTGACAATGTGGAAACAATGGCCAGGAAGTGGTTGGGTGTGTTTGAACTATCACAAAGCAGAGGGTATTTCTGTTGATTTCTGAAAAGTCTGCTTGAA